AAATATGTTATGCAGAAAAATATACTTAACAACTTTTGCCTTGTGGTCATATCCAAAAACGTTACTGAATTTAAAATACAAAATCACATACGTTTCATGTGTTTTTTTTGGAAAAAAAAAAAAAACAGCTTTTGCCTCAAGAAAATTAGTTTTTGAATTTTTAAAATTCGAAGTCGAAGTCAAAAAATAAAATAAAAAATTACGCAATTTAGATCTCGATCTGATCTACAACGGTTCAACCTTATATTTGTTATTTTGTTTTTTGATAAATGTTGAAGGTCACAAAAAATTCCTGTAAGTCGTGGCCGCACCCAGCCGCGGCCCGAGCCGCGGCGCCCGTGATCACGTCCGCCCTCCGAGCTTGATCCCGCGGATGTTTCATAGGCTATATGACCGTAAATGGAACGGGGACAGACCTGTGGACTCGTGGGGTGTCTCCCGATGGATGGCTAGGATGTGTTCTACACTCTCGGGCCAGGGCCTCGGATATGACGTGGAGTGGATTGAGGATAAGTGGGGCACTGGCCCCGACCGGCAGTATCTTGTCAGGTTTGCGTTCCAGCCCCCTTCTGAGAACCGGTGGTTCTACAGAAGAGACCTGATCAAGACAGCAAAGTTTGTTGTTCTGCGGTATGAAGCGGCCCAGAAGGGTAACCTCCGCCGCTCACCCCGCCTACACCCCTAGCTCGGAGGTCCTCGCTCCCGGGGAGGGTAAGCCTGCAATGACTTGCTGATTCTGCTGCCGAGACTGGCTGCGAGGCTGTACACTAACCGTAGGGTTAGATTCGCAATTTGTTTGGCTGAGGGCTAACCGACAGACCTGCCTGTTTGGAAATTCGTGAGGGACATAATTGCAATTCCGGGAAAATACAGGCCCGGTACTCACCGAATTTCTACAGCTACCCTAAATTCCTATAGCAGGCCAGGGCTACCCCTAGGACAGACAGGCCCTAAGTGGCCTATACTGCTATACGGTCCTATAGCCTATAGCCGGGTCTGGTAGAGGTCGAGAGGCCGAAACAGCAACAGTACCGGTAGGTCCAGTCAGTCCATTCTAGGTCTAGGTTAGAGTAGGGAGTCTATAAGTCCGGTAGGAAAATTGGGTAGGGACTTTTGGCTTTTCATTTTCGCGTTGCAGGGTTCGTGGCCAACCAAGTTTATGAGCGCTGAATGTCTACAGCGGCACCTGGCACCTGCGACATCAGCTGCGTGAAGCAGCCATAGACGGCCTACCTGAGACAGCCATAGCTGGGGCCGTGCTCAGCGCATCTATCCCCAGGGGATATCTGCGTTTGGCAGGACTATCAAAGGCTCTTCACTGGGTACATGTGGGTACTGCTGCTGCGGTAGCAGCCGGGAAGCCACAGTTGCCTTCTTCACCGTCAGAGTGACTCATCGACACTGTGGACTACTTCGCTGTTCATGATCTGCATCTGGGTGTATGACACTGGCCTCTGGGAGGCTGTTTCAGTACAGCGCTAGACTCTGAGAGTGTAGTAGTGAGTGGAGTGTGTGGTACCGAGGTGGCGAGACACAGGGTTGAACTCTGTAACGATAATTGGGGTTAATTAAGTTGAGGTTGGCTCATCATCTGTGTTACATTCCGATTGTGATCTTCGTAGTGTTATCTTGTGATTGGTTGTTGGGAGTTCTTCAGAGAGAGAGAAACACTGTTTGTATTCTCCCAATTTGTGCATGGTTGATATTCCATTGCTTTTCTCTGGTCTGTGTGCAGGAGGACTCTGTCTCTTCCTCCCCTTTGTCTCATGCATGTATGGGCGTGCGTGAGTTCTTCAGTGTGTGAGTGGCAATCAAATTGTCAGACGACCAAGTTCATAACAGTTGGTATCGGAGCGGAGATTGGACTTGGAGCTCAGAGGGTTCAGCGCAATAGAGGCAGTTTCTCTTTCGGGCCCTAACTGGCGAGAAGTATCGTGGCGGTTCTTCATCTTCAGTAAAGATCCAGCGGAAGAGAAGAGATACAATCGGTGATTGCGTAGCATCAGTGTGTGCATGATCAGGCACCCTGAGCCTGTCTGAGTGCGTGACAGGAAGTGGTGAGAATCGGGTTATTTCGCCATCCACCCTTCTGACCTCAGTTGATGACTGGGATCTGGGTGGCGAATTACACCCTAATCCAGTGATAACTGGGTGTCGGCTTCAATCCCAGTATAGCGTTGAGGGAGATTTGATCCCAGGATCAATCTCCTGCTCAATTACCCTACTCAGGGCTAAATTTAGCACCAGCGGCTTATCCATGCAATTACGAGATATCTTCAGGAGAGTTTTTGCTCGCCACTGAGGCAGATCTACTGAATCTGAGAGTTGGGGGTTTATCGCCACATCCTACTGGACAGAATCAACAAGTTTCAGGAGATTATATGCGTGGGAAGCTGTGGAAGAGTGTCTGCAAGTACTCGCAAGACCAAGGTCTGGCAGCCATAGCCAGAGCTTCAACAACCACTGAATGAAATACTTCAAGTGAGTGTGTTCCATGTGAATCCCTGAGTAGCGATTAGATTAGTATCAGTAAAAATGGAATTGATGCTTTGGGTATCAGTAGAGTCACAATCGTGAAATTGTCAGACTACAAGACAACAATAACAATTTTCTTCCTCCCTACCCTGACTCATATGTCATCATCTATTGACCTGTTCTGACTCAAATTTGTTCTAGGACTGCATGACAATATTGCGCTGCACCCTGTATGATCATTCTGTGAATTCTGTATAAAAAAAGTAGTGATACTGTGAATCTGAGTTTTGCGCTGAGTCTATTTATAGTCTGTGCTATCTAAGGTCAGACACAACTCAAAATCTGTTTGTCAGAATTCAAGTCTGTCAGTCAGGGGTGAATCGCAATTCCATTTCTGTCATCGCTGCTCAAGTGCTAATCCAGAAACAGTGAATTTGAGCCATTACAATCAAATCCTGAAATTCGCCATATCTCGGGGTATTTCTGTTGATGTCAACAGTGGCAAAATTTGAGTTTAGGGTCAGGGGGTAGTTTACTCCATTGCTACGACTTGTTGTGTTGTTTCAGTTTATCCATCATCACCACTAATCTCCTTTGCTTTCTAATGGGCCCTGGAATGCTAGTGACCTCTAAGAATGTTGTGAAAGTGCAGGTTGCAACTCCAGTGAAAGTTCAGTGTCAGGTATAGGAAATCGTTAGTGCATGATTTTACTGGACATCCAGTCAGCCTGATTACTGACCCCAGTGGTCCTATTCCAACGCTAACCGCTTGTGCCCACTGACCCACATTACTCTGTAAACTGACAGTGCAACGGTTTTTTAGTGTCTGAGTGAACTATAAATCGTTGCTCCTTCTGTTGTTTCACATTATTATTTTTTTGTTTTGAGAAGGGAAAATGTCAACGCAGTTGACTCAGGTGCAGAGAAGGTAGAGGTAGTAGTCAAGGAGGAGGAGAAATTTGCCCCGTCTACTCCTACCCCTCCTCCTCTCACCCCTGCACAGCTGCGAAAGAGAGAGATTGAGGCCAAACTGCGAGAGCAACAGGCGCTGCTCGCAGAGGCAGAGAGACAAGAGGCTTTAGAACTGGAAGCTGCAACAGATGCTTTCAAGAAGGAGCATCTGCTGCAGCAGGCTGATAAGACTGTTGCACATAACCGGGTGGCCCAGTGAACGAGGGGCCTGTCTGAGCTGATGATTTTGCAGGACAAACTAATAGCCAGCCACTTCACGAACTGGGATGAGAGGATCCAGCGGTTGGAGACCAGAGTGGCTGATCTGGGAACTCAACAATCTAAGATCCTGGACTCTATCCAGAATCTGACTGCTGAGTTAACAACGGTCAACGTCATCACTCCCCTGGTCCCGGTGGTTTCCTCTCCAAAACCCAAGAAGCCTTCGCAACCTCCTTCACCCCCTGGATCTCCTCATCCCTCTCACAAGTCTTCTCCCTCTGTCACCTCCCAGGCCAAAGCCACGCCTCCTCCCACCTTTGCTGTTGTTGTTGTTGGGGACCAGCGAGGTCCTAAAATCCCTGCCCCCAACAAATACAAGGGGGATGACCCCGAAGTTGATGTTGGGGACTGGGCGGCCATAACCCAGGCATATCTGAAGGGGTTCCAGTGCCGAGAACAGCAAAAGGTGGCTACTATTGTGGGGCTGCTGGAGGGCCCAGCCCAGAAATGGGCTACATCTACAGCTAGTGTCGAGCAGCAGTCTTTGGAGGGTTGGGCATTGGCACTGGGGATTGACAAACTTTTGCAGGCCCTAGAGGACAGGTTTGCAGAGAAGGAACGTGCACGCAAAGATGCTGATAAAATAGCACACCTGGGCCAGCAGCGTTACAGCGGCAATCTGCAGGCTCTGTTTACTGATTTTGAACAGCTCACCTCCACCCCTGGCTTTGTTATGTCTATTGATGATTTGCTGACTTACTTTTGCAGGGTTGTGCCTGAAAAGTTCTGTGTGGCATTGTACAGCGCAGGGCACAAAGACTGGAGGTCATTTGACCGCGCAACATTGGACATGGAGGCCAAACTTCATGTCCAGGCCTCTTCCAGTGACAGGAAGAAAGGCGCTTTCGCTCGCGGTGGTAGAAGGGGAAAAGCGGCTTTGCTCACGCAGAATCGGCGTCATCATCTGATGCAGGATCCCGGCCTGGTACACCGCCAGGTGGGACTGCAACAGATGTTGTCGCAGATGTTGCAGCGGCCATGCAGCAGCTGCAGGCTGCGCTGGGGCCTTCCAAAAGGTCAGGCCTACCTCTAGCACAACCTCCAGCAGCAAGGGGAAGAGTCAGGGACGTCGCTCTTCAACCCCTGCCCGGCGCCCTAACCTTCCATGTGACGTCCATTTTCCTGCAGACCCCCTAAATCCCAACACCCTTCCCAGGCATGACTTGAAGATTCAGGAAGGGGTGTGAAGAAAGAGGAAGGAGAGGGGAGTCTGCCTGAGGTGTGAGGGACACCATTTCCTCAAGGACTGTCCCTACATGCCTAGCCTAGCTCTGTCAAAAAATTGAAGTTGAACCTGGGGACAGCAGTTCCCTCTAGTGTTGCACCTGCATCTGCAGCTGCAACAGCTTCAGTTGAGACTTGTTCCTTCCTACCCAGTGCGGGGACTGCGCGGGCAGCATCCTTCACCCATAAGGATCCTGACCCGGATCAGAAACCGGACCAGTCTGAATCTCAGGCACTTCATGCTTTTTTTTTTCATATAAAGGAACAAAAGCAGAACAAGTCTGATCTCATACTCCTTTGGCCCCGGATCAACCATAAAAGAATCAAAGGGTTGCTGGACTGTGGAGCCACCTGAAATTTCATGTCACTCAGTGCAGTCAAAAAACTGCATCTGGGAATGAAAGTGGTGCAATTGCAGCAACCGCTGCAAGTCCGGATAGGTGACTCCACTGTTCTCACAATCACGGAGAAGGTGAGGGGTATCCCTGTCACCTTCGACAGTGCTGGAGAAGTCAGACACAGTCTGAACTTCTACATATTCCCTCATCTACCCTTTGATCTTGTTTTCTCCATGCAGTGGTTGAAAGCAGTCAACCCAAGGATCAATTGGCAGATCCCCAAGGTTGAACTGTCAAACAGCAAGGGGGTGTATCGGCCTTGTATGATTCCTGCTGATCACCACCCAAAGACATCATGCTTCTGTCTGAGAGCGAGAGAGTTTTATGCTCTCTCACGCCAATATGACCATGAGCATTTGTTCATAGCTCTGGTCAAGCAGACAGATGCTCCCACTACTCTCTGTCCTCCTGAGATACAGCAGGTTGTGGACCAGTACGCTGATCTGATGCAAGAGCCCTCTGGGTTACCAAACCGGCCAACCAAGCATCACATTTAGCTGCTGCCTGGGGCGGTCCCTCCCAAGGGCCGCATCAACAGGATGTCACCTGCTGAGCTTGAGGAGCTCAGGCGACAGCTTGAGACCCTGACCAGCAAGGGTTGGATCAGGCCCAACACTTCTGAATTCGGTGCTCCAGTCCTCTTTGTTCCAAAGGGGAGTGGTGAGTTCAGAATGTGCATTGACTACAGGGGTCTCAACAAAATCACTAGGAAGAGCACAGAGCCACTTCCTAGGATTGATGACCTTCCGGATATGGTTCATGGGTGCACCATCTTCAGCAAAGTCGACCTCAAATCTGGTTATCACCAGATTGAGATGGCAGAGGAGGACATCCTCAAGACGGCCTTCAAAACCAGCTATGATACTTATGAGTATCTGGTTATGCCATTCGGACTTTGCAATGCACCTGGCACATTCCAGACTGAGATGCACCGCATCTTCAGGCCTTACCTGGATAAGTTTATGGTTGTTTACCTGGATGACATCCTGGTATTTAGCAAAACTACTAGGGAACATGCGGAACACCAGACTCTGGTTCTTCAGTCGTTACGTGATAGCCAGTATAAGATCAACAGGGAGAAGTCCTCTTTTGGAGTTCCCTCTGTTATCTATCTGGGTCATGTAATCTCTGGAGAAGGACTGGCCCCTGAAGCAGCCAAAGTTGCTTCTATTCAGGACAAGCCACAACCCCAGACAATGAGAGATGTCCGGTCTTTCTTGGGTCTGGCCTCATACTACAGAAAGTTCGTCAGGAACTTTTGTGCAGTGGCGGCACCCCTAACTAACCTTACAAAGAAAGACATTCCCTTTTTTTGATCTCTTCACTGCCTGATGGCCTTTGCACGACTCAAACAGGCCTTGACTCGTGCACCTGTTCTGAAGCTACCTGACCCCACTTTGCCATTTGTCCTGACCATTGACGCCAGTGAGTATGGCATTAGGGCAGTACTTCAGCAGGATGATGGGAATAGTCTGAGACCTGTTGAATTCATGAGTAAGAAGATCAAGACTCAGAAGGTTCATGACTCTTCCTACGAGAAAGAGCTGTATGCTCTTGTCAGTGTCCTGAAACATTGGAAACACTTTCTCCTAGGCAGGCACTTCAAGATCTTTTATGATCATTCCACCTTGCAGTGGTTGAAGTCCCAGGGAGAGTTGAATGACAAGTTGGCACGCTACATTTAGTTCATTGATTTGTTTGACTTTGAACTGAATCACAAGAAGGGCTGCTACAATAAAGTAGCTGACGCCCTCTCTCGTAGGCCTGACTCTTTTGCGCTGATCTCCTCTACTCATTCCTTTGGAGAGGAGGTTCGTTAGAATATTGCTCGTTTACTGCCTCAGGATCCGACTTATGAACCCATCGTCAGGAATCTGCAAGCAGATCCCAATTCCGAACCAGACTATGGTATAAGTTCAAATCTGCTGTACACTTACAACAGAGTAAAGGAGCGCTTATGTATTCCTAAGGATCAGCAGCTGAAGACACAGCTGATGCCAGAGTGTCACGACGCGCGTGGACACTTTGGGTTCTTAAAGTCGTATGTAGCCCTGTCGCAGCACTTCTTCTGGAAGGAGATGCGGAGTAATATGCTGCGCTATGTGGATACCTGTGAGCTCTGCCAAAGGAATAAGGTCTCTCTAGATCAGCAGGACTCGGATCTCCACTTGGCGAGGGCACAACTCATGTATAATACGTATGTCCACTCCTCGGCATGGTTCAGCCCCTACTGGTTACATTGGGGACGTGAGCCACGACAGCCTCTCGATGATATCATTAATAAGGCTACGCCTGACCTTACCTCAGACACTGCAGAGTTCGCCAGACGCTATCATCTGGATGTGGAAAGAGCCCGGGCGAACTTGTTCAAGGTTCAAAAGACCATAATTGAACAAGCCAACCGCCACAGGCGGCCTTCCCCCATCCTCACTGGTGACTATGTCTGGGTGGCCAGTTCAGAGTTGTCGAGGGAGGAGAATATCTCCCCCAAGCTGTTGCCATGCTACCTGGGTCCGTGGCAGGTCCTAGATACAGTGGGCGTCGATCCCTTCGGTCCATCGTATGTCATCGACGTCCCGCTGCATCTACGAACCTATCCAGTCTTTCATGTATCCAAGCTGCTGCCGTTTACACCAGCTGATTGACCTAGACCGGCCCCCTCAGTTTGGTCCACCGATCCCTGGCAAGGGATATGACGTGGAGTGGATTGAGGATGAGTGGGGCACTCGCCCCGACCGACAGTATCTTGTCAGGTTTGCGTTCCAGCACCCTTCTGAGAACCAGTGGTTCTACAGAAGAGACCTGATCAAGACAGCAAAGGCTGTTGTTCTGCGGTATGAAGCGGCCCAGAAGGGTAACCTCTGCCGCTCACCCCGCCTACACCCCTAGCTCGGAGTTCCTCGCTCCCGGGGAGGGTGAGCCTGCAATGACTTGCTGATTTCTGCTGCCGAGACTGACTGCAAGGCTGTACATTAACTGTAGGGTTAGATTCGCAATTTGTTTGGTTGAGGGCTAACCGAGAAACCTGCCTGTTTGGAAATTCGTGAGGGACCGAATTGCAATTCCGGGAAATTTTAGTCCCAGTACTCACAAAATTTCTACAACTACCCTAACTGCCTATAGCAGGCCCGGGCTACCCCCAGGACAGACAGGCCCTAAATGGCCTGTATTGCTATACGGTCCTATAGCCTATAGCCGGGTCCGGTAGAGGCCGAGAGGCCAGAACAGCAATGGTACCGGTAGGTCCAATCAGTCCAGTCTAGGTCTAGGTTATAGTAGGGAGTCTATAAGTCTGGTAGGAAAATCGAGTAGGGACTTTTGGCTATTCATTTTCGCGTTGCAAGGTTCATGACCAACCGAGTTTAGGAGCGCTGAATGTCTACAGCGGCACTTGGCACCTTCGACATCAGCTGCGTGAAGCAGCCATAGACGGCCTACCTGAGACAGCCATAGCTGGGGTGGTGCTCAGCGCATCTATCCCCAAAGGATATCTGCGTTTGGCAGGACTATCGAAGGCTCTTCACTGGGTACATGTGGGTACTGCTGCTGCAGTAGCAGCCGGGAAGCCATAGCTGCCTTCTTCATCGTCAGAGTGACTCATCGGCACTGTGGACTACTTCGCTGTTCATGATCTGCATCTGGGTGTATGGCACTGGCCTCTAGGAGGCTGTTTCAGTGCAACGCTAGACTCTAAGAGGGTAGTAGTGAGTGGAGTGTATGGTATTGAGGTGGCGAGACACAGGGTTGAACTCTGTAACGATAATTGGGGTTAATTAAGTTGAAGTTGGCTCATCATCTGTGTTACATTCCGATTGTGATCTTCACAGTGTCATCTTGTGATTGGTTGTTGGGAGTTCTTCAGAGAGAGAGAAACACTGTGTGTATTCTCCCCATCTGTGCATGGTTGATATTCCGCTGCTTTTCTCTGGTCTGTGTGCAGGTGGACTCTGTCTCTTCCTCCCCTTTGTCTCATGCATGTATGGGCGTGTGTGAGTTCTTCTGTGTGTGAGTGGCAATCAAATTGTCAGACAACCAAGTTCATAACAGAGACAGGGCGAGAGAGAGAGAGAGAGAGAGAGAGAGAGAGAGAGAGAGAGAAAGGATGGGGGGAGGGGCAATATCTAAAAGCTCGGAAGCAGGACAAGTTGAAACGGAGTTGGAAGCAAAATTTGGAGTGCCATTGACTGAAGTTGAACCGAGAGTTGAACACCAACCAGGTCACAGAGAGAGAGAGAGAGAAAGAGAGAGGGAGATAGGGAGAAAGAGGGAGAGAGAGGAAGAGAGAGAGAGAGAAGAGGAGGGGGGTGGGCGAAGTGATATGAGAAACCGGGAAGCAACAGAATTTGGAACTGAGTAGAAAGCAAATTCTCACGAGTGCCATTCAGTTCAGGAAAATACAAGAATGCCGGTTATAGCGAATAGGCTTGACACTCGTTCAACCTGTCACATGAGAGCTATGAATATTATATATTAATTACACTTGAAGAGCAATATCCTACCCCTTAAGTGCGGTGGGCCAGCGGGGGGAGGCCGTGTTCCGCCGCGCGCCGGAATCGGGCCGAACTTTTGATTCGGCCCGGCGGTTGATGGCAATCGATGGCAGGGGTGCGTGCAGAGGGACGCGCGTACCGAATTGTTCACAGTGCGCCAAAAAACGAGTGAGCGCGACCATCGGGCCGGGCGGCGGTGGGCATTGATGCGAGGGGATATCTCGAAGCGCCCGCCGTCGGATAGTCGTCCCCCCTTCTTTTTTAATTTCATTTCCAGTTCCCTTTTTTTTTTCTTTTCCCTTTTCCATTTTTTTTCTTTCTTTCTTATTCGGTTGCAATTTTCTGTCGTGTTCCCCCCATTTTCGTCGCATTACTCTGATTTCACTTTTCCCGTCGTTTCTTTTCTTTTCAGGAAAATGGAAAAAAAAGTTTGAGGGTCCGCCCGCCCGCCCACACTCGCTCACTCACTCGTCCGCCCGCCCGCCTGCCCGCC